CCACAGCCTTGTCTAGACATCCCCAGATGGCATAGCCACAGCCTTGTCTAGACATCCCCAGATGGTATAGCCACAGCCTTGTCTAGACACAGGGGCCTGGGAGCCAAGCCACAGCAGCAAATCAGGGCTCATCCAGGCAGCTTTGGCAGAGGAAAGAGGTTTCTGGAGTTACTGCAGCTTGCAGACCCCAGTGCCCACCCCAGACAGCCTGAGAGTCCCCATCACAGTCCATTCTGTTCAGCCACCAGGTCAGATGGTGGTGAGGTGGTTGGAAGCCCTCCCTCCACCTATGGATGCCTGTCCAAGCAACAAGGAGAGGTGGCCAAGACTGGCCTGGCACAGAGGAAGTGAGGGTCACACACAGCCCACCTAGGTACAAGGGCTGTGAGTGAGGTAGCCTAGGCCTCTGGCTGCAGGGGCTGGGGGCCGCGGAGAGTCTAGGAAGCTGCAGGCTGTGGGACACCTGAAATGGCAAAGCCCATCGCTCTGCTGGTCCCTCTAAGTGTCGACTGCCAGTGCCCTGGAGCCGGGACAGACTGAGACAGACGTTGGCCCCTTACTCGGCGGCCAGCGCGGACCAGGAGAAGGCGCCCGAGGCCGAGGCCCAGGTCCCCGTACCCGGGCACCGGACACGCGCGGCCCCGGCCCCGGGGCTGAGGGACGGTGCAGCGGGCCGGCTCCAGCGCTACACCGGCCCGCCCCAGCGCTCCCACGCCCCGCCCGGCCGGTACCGTGGCGTTGGAGCAGCTCAGCAAGCTGACCACCAGCAGGAAGACCCAGCGGCGCGCATAGGCGCGGGGGCTTCGCGGTGCGCCCCCAGCAGCCTCCGGCACTGCTCCCGCGGGCCCCGCCATCGCCGCGGCCGGCCGAGGGTCTCCAGAGGACTTAAAGGCACCCGCGTAGGCGGGCCGGGTGGCGCCGGACTGGGCGGGGCAATAGGGTCAGTCCCCGCCCCCAAGGATCCGCTAGGGCGTCGCGTCGTGTGGGAGGGGCGAGTGGGCGGAGTTGCAGTCCCCACTTTGGGTCTCGTGCGGAAGCCGGGATGGAAACTGGGCCTCAGAGGCAGGAATAAGTCCCTTCTTGTAGTGGCCAATCCGGTCACAGCTTGTGAGGACCCGTCGTGAACATGCTCGCGGGGGTGGGTGCAGGAAAGGGGACCTGCAGTCTCTTTGTCCCCAAACTACTGAGATCCAAACAAGCGGCAGGGAGAGGCTAGAGGCCAGCCTGGAAGAGGAAACTGGTGTCAGTCTGTAAACAGCCTGGAATCCGGAGTGCCATTACACCTCCCGCTAGGGGAAGCCGGAAGGGTGGGAGCTGGGGAGGACCTGGCCTCAAGATCCCGTCCGCCCAGCCCCTAGGGGAGGCAGTCTGCCCTCCCACCCGGATGTTTTCTGCTGCTTCCCCTGGGAGTCAGCTGGCCCAGCAGCTGGGCAGGTTTCTGTTTGTGTCCACCGAGGCCTATGGGTGGGAGGCAGGAGGGAGGCCAGTCTGGCTCAGAGGGCCTGTGTCTGGCTGGTTCCTGGCCCTGCCAGGCAGGCCCGTGTAGAGTGGGGTCTCCTTGTCCAGATTGAGGTGGACAAGGAGGCCTCCTGTCCCTCAAGCTCGCCTCTGTGGTAGGGGGCAGGCTGTTCCTGCTCTTTGTCTTAAGGGTTGGAAGGTGTCACTGTCACAAGAGATGTCTCTGGAAGAGGGATCTCATCTGAAGAATTCCCAGGGAAGGGGGAATTCCGGCAGCACAAGTGGGGTCCTTGAAATGCATGACAGATAAGATTGACAGCACTGTCTATCAGGGAGCAGGATTAGGGTTAGGAAAGCAGGAGCACACATTCCAGAGAGAACAGGCCTCTGTTCCTGGTCTGGGCTCTTCTTATAAAGAAGTCTGATGAGGGGTGGGCACAGGAGGTGTGGGGTTGGCATTAGTCTGGGGATCTCAAGATGGTTTATGGTGGTCTGGTCATCCTCCAGGTCCTCAGGTGGTGGGGTCTCCATTATCTGTCTGATCAGTAATTGTTGCTGGAAAGCCCCCCCACATTATAGGGATTTTTAAATGTCATATATATATCTTTACTTGATATATTTATTTGTGGACTAGTTAACAGGGGACAAGGTAGATTCACAGGTTTTCTAGAAGCTTGTGGGTGACAGGCCATGCAAAGCACCGGCCTGGAAAGGCAGGTGACACTCAGTTAAAATTGTCTCTGTCCCTGTTTCCTTCAAGTTTCCTTCTGCCTATTCATTGCTTCTCTTACTCACCACCTGTCCCACATCCCTCTCTGAACAAGCAGTTGCGTGGTCCCAGCCCTTGTGTGTTCTTACCAGGGTCGTGTGTGCGTTAGATGGAGTCACACACTTTGGGGTTTCTTTTGTGAAGAACTGTTGAGTAACCAAGGAGAAATGGGGCTCTCCCCAGTGCCCTCCAAAAGGACAGCCCACTCTCTGAAACCCCTGAAGGGGCCCTGTGGTCCTCCTGCTCAATGCCACTGTCCTCACCTAACTTTTGTCCCTTCCATCTCCCCTGTCCTCTTCTCCTCATTCCTTACTTGCCCCCACCCCATCCATCCACTAACCCTAACCTCGAGGAGCTGGCCCTCACAGCCTTCCCCCAAGGCCTGGTACTGCTTGGGACTGGGGACTTCCATGTCTTCCTACCACTCCTGGCAGATAGGGAGGGACAGCATAGGTATCAGTGTCGAGGACATGACTAGATAGGATTTGCCCCTCACCAGCTGCAGGCCTAGTAAAGTCTCAGCTGTTACCCTAAAACAGGGTGACCACGTGGCTATTTCCACCTATCCAAGTCTCTGACAACTCCTCCTCCCATATCCTCAGGGGTCTGGGGTGAGCAGTGCGTTCAGCAAGGCTGCAGGACACAAGATCAGCACACTACAATGAACTGTATTTCTATGAACTGTGCCAACACATGTGAAAAAACACAATTAAAGGCAGGAAACATATATAGTTACTTCAAAGAAAATTAAATACTCAGATATAAACTTAGCAAAGCAAGTGTAGTGCTTCAATGCTAATGATGATACAACATTAACAGAAGAAATCAAAAAGACCAAATAAACAGAGAGGTATACTGTGTCCATGGATTGGGAAACAGCAGAGTAAAGATGCCAGTTCTCCTTAAATTGACTTACAGGTTTGATGCAATTCCCATCAGAGGTTTTCACACAGACTGACAGAAAATGTTCGAAAACCACATAGCCAACAAGGACTGGTAGCTAGGATATATAATTCAACAGTTTAAAAAATTCAGCATGAAAGTGGGCCAAGACATGAGGAGGCATCTCATGGAAGAGGATCCACAGAGGGCAATAGGGATGAGTGACTTAACTTGATTAGCCACCAGGAGAATGCAAGTTAAATCTTTGTGAGCTGTCACCACACGCCTTTCAGAATGGCTAAAATAGAACAGCACAACACCAGATGCTATCAAGTCTCTGAAAAACAAGGCGGCGGCTTCTTATACACATAAGTATGCAGCTGTTGCATAAGCCAGCAATTGCACTCCTGAATTCATCCCTCAAAAGCCTGAGCCCAGACCCACAGCCGCTTTCACTGTGAGAGTCAAAACTGGTATCCCCTAGCAGGATGGCTAAGCTAGCTGCTCGCGTCCATAGCATGAAATACGGCTCAGGAGGAAGAAGCTGGTAGCATACAAGTCTGGATGGATCTGTCAGGGCGATGAGACGGGACAAAAGGCTGGGAACAGGGAGTGACCCTGGGGTGCAGTGAATGAGCCCCCTAAGTGGCAGGACCTGCTGATTCTCTACCCTCCTGAACAAATTGGTCACAATACTCAATCCAACCAGAGAAGCAGAATGTTTGCACAAGATGAGATTTCTCCTGAGAAAACCTAATAAATCCTCTAGCTTCACCTTTTCTTAGTTAACTTGAGACTTGCCTGTTTGGGAGGTCACACAGCTAGGGCATATGACTGGTTCCCTAGGGCTTTGCTGCGAGTCACACCTCTGCTGCGTGGGCTATGTGGACAGTGGAGGCCCAGCTGCTCTTCAGGGACCCCAAGGCCTCTTTCACTGAAGACTCTGGCTCTTCCCCAGGCCTGCAGGAGTCTGGTGGGTGACTGGAGTGGGGTCTCTGTCTTCATATTGGTCCTGTCCCCTTGGCCACCTTACCCTTTGGGTCGATTCTACTGGGTCCTGTGGGTAGTCATAGCTGACCATGGAGGGTGGTAGGTGTTTTCTTCCACCTGCCCTGTGCCTGTCCAGCAGTGACAGTAGCCCAAGCACCCAAAGCCCTTCAGCCCTGCCATCAGCCCAGATGGAGCCACAGGCCAGGTGTGTGCATAGGACAAAGGGACCAGCTGCAACACAACCCAGCAGTCCCCCAATAAGGCCACCATGAGAAGAAACATCTTTTGGAATCTGCCCCTGGCCAGTGGAACTCACTGACTAGGCCCTAGCCCACCCCAGCAAGGCTGCAACAGCTCATGTCTCCCTTGCTCAGGAAGGAGCCTGGCTACTCCATCAGTGCTGCCCCCTGAGCTGAGCTCCAGTTGAAGCCTTGCCTGCAGGTTGCTCTCACTGGACTCGATTTCCTTTTCACCATCACTAAGTTGGAAGTTCCTGCTTCAGGTATCAGTTGCCAGGGACAGGGACTGGGCTGTGAAGGGGCAACAGGCAATGCGCAGGGCACATTCACACCATGCACACTCACAAGGCTGCCTGTCCCACTACATGCACATGAGAGAAACAGGGCATGACCTGCACCTTGCCCAGGCTGCAACCCGTGAAGCAGGGCTGAAGAGACCAAGGGAGGCGGGAGCTGTCTGTGTGTTCTGCATGACGTCACCCTGGGGCACACTGGCAATGGTGACAGGCCCTCTCTGTGTTGTGTTTTCAACTGCATGGAATCTACCAGTGTCACAACAAGAAGCTCAGTTCTAAGGATCCCAGAGTATGAAGTCTTGGAAGTCTTGGAAGCAATGGATTCCTCTCTCTCACTCAGTGTTAACAGTTTTGTATCAAAATGGACAAGAGTTTCAGCACAAGCGTTAGCTGCTGGTGTGTTGAATCCAGGTACAGCACCACGCACGGGCCACAGGATGTCCTCTCCCCTTTGGAATAGCCACATCTTGCAGAGGTCCTCTGGTAACTGGACAAGGTCACCTGTTGCCTTCTAGGGAAATGACCTTCAGAGCTTCCTTAGAATTCCCTCTCACTGTGGCTAAATCTGCCTTTAGTGTCTCATCATCTCAGCCAAATGTGGACTTCTGCCAACATCCCAAACTGACCCTACCCAAGGTCTCTCCCACCACTGTGTCCCCCCAACAGCATCTAGTTCGGAGGCAACCAACTGAGGCTGCCTGGCCAGCTGGAGCCCAGACAAGGCCACCCTCTCTGGACACCGCACTGTGAGGTGGTGTGGCCATCCTGCTCACTGACGTGGTTCTTCTGCTCCTCCTAGGGTCAGGGTTGCTAGGGCAGGAGCCTGTCTGTCCACCCCAATGCCTGGAGGAAGAACCAGGCAGCACATGTCCTAGGCAAAAACAAAGGAGGCGGGGGCTGGCCTTCCCACCTGGGCCCCTGGCCCAGCCTGCCAGGCAGGCTCTGGAGGCACCCGTCCCCACGCACACCTGCACTGCCTGTCCCAGCAGCACACTTCGCTTCCCACGTCCAGTGACTCACCTGTCCCCCAGAGCTCCCGCTGGCCCATGCTGAGGCCCGCAGGCTACCAGCAGGGGCTGAGTCAGCACTTCAGGGTCTGGACTAGCTGCCTGGAATGAAACCCAACTCGATCCCCAGGTGTGCAAGGGCTTGAGGACTAAAAACAGGCCTGCCACTGAGTCTTGAGGGCTCTGTCACTCTTGCCTGGGCTCCAGCTGGCCCCAGCAGAGGGGCCCTCAGGTGTCCACCTCCTGTCCTCCCTACCCAACCCCAAAGTCTTAGCCTGCTCCCTACCCACCTCAAGATCACCCTGACATCTACCCTGCCCTTGGAGCCTGTCCACCTCTCAAGAGGTCAAGGCTCTGGTTCTCTCACCCTTGTGCATGCAGGGGGACAGGCAGCCTTGTGGGTGTGCGTGGTGTGAGTCATGCCCTGCGCATGTGGTCTTGTGTAGGGCTGAGGTTCCTCTGTGGTATGTGTGTCTAGATTGGGAGTTGGTTTGAGTTCATGTGTTATGTAGGCCATGTAGGCTTTGGCATGTGGTGAGACAGTCATTCTCTTCCGTGTAAGTGGTGGGAAGTGATCCCCTATTTCTGTTTGTGTGGGCTTCCACTCTGCATGTGAGATGGAGGGCCGGGCTCTCCCTCAGCTCAGGTGCCTACACAGCGCCACACCTCCCTGTGTAGGAACCTTGGGACCCTGGGCCCAGACGAGTGCAAGCGGGACGGTACTTGAGGTGAAGGTCACTGGGGACACTTTCGGATTCCACAGCCCAGTCTCCCAGGTGCTGCTGGTGGCTCCTGCACTCGGAAGGGCACTTTCCAGGACAGCCTGGGTTCTGAATGCCTTTCTTCCCAGGGTCCTGGCGACCCCTCACCTCCTCTCAGAGCCTGATTTCTGCTCTGGAATGGGCCCAAACCTGTCACAGCTTCCCTCTCACTTGGGAACAGGAGGGTGGCTTCGGTCTCCCCTGCCACAGCATCTCCTAGATGGACAGCCCCAACTTGGCCTTGACTGCTTGGCTCTGAGGCTAGGATCCTGCAAGAACATGAGAAGCTCATGGAGCATGGCCTCTCCACTCAGCAGAAGGTCTCCAAAGTTCATCCGCATCATAGCAGGTGTCAGTGTCTCATTTTTATTGCCAAATATTATTTAATGTCTGGGTATGCACTTTGTATTTATTCGCTTTTCAGGTGATTGACAGTTGGTGTCTTTTCACCTCTGGGCTGTTGTGACCACTTGTGAGCCGGCCTAGTGTGGACATTGTCTTCAGGCCTCCTGCTCTGCACCTGTGTTGGATTTATGACCAGCCTTTTAAGGACCTTTCAGGCTGTTTTCCAAAGCACTTGCACATTTGATTTTACCACCGATGGTGCATCTACAGCCGCACTAGACCTCTTGCCTATCTTGTTGATGATGCCCATCCTGCAGTGACGACCCCTGTTGGTGATCTGCATTTCCCTGATAGCCAATGGTAATGGGTGCTTCTCACAGGCTTGTTGGCCATTTGTAAATCTTGTTTGAAAAAATCATCTACTTGAGTCACTTGTTACTTTATTTTTTTGGCAGTAGGGATTGAACCCAGGGGTGCTTAATCACTGATAAACCAGCCCTTTTTAAGTTGTTTAGGGTCTCACTAAGTTCTAAGGCTGCCTTGAACTCCCGATCCCACCGCCTCAGTCCCTGCAGGGATTATAGGTGTGCACCACTGTGCCCAGCTATCTTGTTCATTTTTAATCATGTATTTGTATCTTCATTGTTGAATCATAGTTTTCACATTCTTTATGTCCTTACAGTCTCACAGTGTCAGACTCAAGCCCTCCCAGACACCATTCCGAGACTCTCCTCCACTGGAGTCGTTTTTCTCCTTTGCTCAGGGTGCTCTTTGCAAGCAGGAGCTTCAGTCTGAGGAACCTACTCCACCTGTTTTCTCTCGTTACCTGTGCCTTTGTTTTCCCAAGAAATCCTGCCTTTTCCAAGGTTGAGAAGGTTTGTGCCTCAGTTTCTTTTGAGATGGACAATTTTACCTCCTATATTTACATCTTTGACCCACTTGAGTTTTGTGTATGTTATGATAGGCATCCAATTTCATTCTTTTACATATGAACATTCAGTTTTTTCCAGCGGTGTTTGCTGGAAAAAAAAAAAAACAACAACACATTTGTTCCTGCCCTGAATCATCCTTCCGGACACTGGGCCAAGCACGAGGGTCCACTTCTGGACTTCCAGTTTTGTCCTGTGGTCTGGGCTCACCTGCATGCCAGGCGCCTGTCTTGATGGGTACAGCTCTGCAGCAAGCTTTGAGATCAAGAAATGGCCCTGCTAACTTGCTTCTTCCCCTAAAGATCGTTTGGCTATTCTGGGTCCCTTGAATTGACCTCCAAATTTGGGGATCGAATTTCAATGTCTTGTTAATTTCTGGCAACAATCCAGTTGGGATTTTGGGTTGAATTACCAATTTGGGGAGTACAGACATCATAGCCACATGCCCTGTCCACAAACATGGGAACTCTGTTATTT